TTTCTTACCTGGATGCAATGGTTCAAATGTCCAGGACAGAGCTAATTGATGGCCTTGATAATGAACGTCTTTTTCTGGTTTCTGCGTTTAATCCTACTACCTCTAGTCACTTTTTTGTTTGTTTGTTTTTTAATATAAGGCCCATGGGCTACCAGAAAAAGAGAGAGAAAGCTTCCGTCAGTGGGGAGTGGGGGATGGCCACACCACAGTCCCTTCTCCTACTTTTGGATTTCTAATTTGACCTGTTTGTAAAATTTGGTTATATTTATAAATTAATTTGGGAGATTGACATTTTTACGACATTGAGTCTTCCCATTCAGAAAAATAAGTCTCCATTTATCAAAATATTTTAATTTTCTCAGTAAAATGCTATACATTTTTTGTAGGTTATTTACTTATTGTTTGTTGTTATTCCTCTAAGTTTTATTGCTGTGGCTATTATTAAAATAAGGTTTTTTCCCCATTATGTTTTCTAACATTTTTGGCTGTTATATGGAAAATACTTTTAACTTTGTGTATTTTGTGACTTTATTTTCACTGAAATTTGTAATTATTTAAAACATTTTTTAGTCGATTCTACCTGAGCAAATTATTGTAACTTCTGCAGGATGAATCATTTTATCTCTTGTTTAGTCATAATTCTTTAGTTTACTTTTCTTACCTGGATGCAATGGTTCAAATGTCCAGGACAGAGCTAATTGATGGCCTTGATAATGAACGTCTTTTTCTGGTTTCTGCGTTTAATCCTACTACCTCTAGTCACTTTTTTGTTTGTTTGTTTTTTAATATAAGGCCCATGGGCTACCAGAAAAAGAGAGAGAAAGCTTCCGTCAGTGGGGAGTGGGGGATGGCCACACCACAGTCCCTTCTCCTCCATTCTCCTCTTAGGATTTTGTGTATGCATATGTATGTTTTTAAAGCCCTGAGATCCATGACTCGAAACGTGCTGTCAGCCATGTGAGATCTAGCTGCCTTTACCTCCATGCCACCCGGCTGGCCTTAGGGTTTGACTATTAAGTAGGGTGTGTGTGTGTGTTTAGTTTGATATCAATCGTCATTATACGTTAAGAATTTTATAACTCCATTGTATTAATTAAATTTGATATTGGGTCAGCAGGTGGCATGGTAATTAAGGTGCTGAATTCCCACATGGCCAACTGCAGTTTGAGTCCTGGACCTGGTGGCTTAAAAATTGCCCAGCAGAGACTGGAGGAGAAGGGATTGTGGCATGGCCATCCCCCTAGGGGGTGATTTTTCACTTTTTATTTCTCTATTTCTCTCTGTCTGTCCAGCAAGTACACACCCCCATAACAAAAATCTCTCCCCTCAAAAAAATTGGATAATAAATTTTATCGAATGACTTCAAGATTATCTATTGTAGTCCAAAGTCTTTCTCCACTGATTTATTTATGTCTTAATTATGCTAATGAATTCCTTACTGTTGAGATATGTTTGTATCTTCAGGATAAACTTTGTTTATATGTGAGGTTAGTCTGTGGTTTCATTTACTGTGTTTTATCAGTTTTTTTTTTTATTAAAGTTTTTTGTCATAGGGTATGTGCACTTACCACAGAGGAGAGAGACAGTTAGAGGGAAAGTGAGAAATCACCCTCCAGTGGGGATGGCCATACTGCAATCCCTCTCCTTTATTCTCCTCTCAGGATTTTGGAAATGCACATGTATGTGCCAGGTATGATTTTCAAGCCTCTAGGTCTGGGACTCAAACTATGGTCAGCCACATGGAATCCAGTGCCTTAACGTTATAAAATTCTTAACGTATAATGACGATTGATATCAAACTAAACTACCTGCTGGCCCCAGTTTCTTTGTTTGTTTGTTTGTTTGTTTGTTTTTTGAGTTGAGTATTATGTTAGCTTTCTGTTACTTTTGTTTACTTGAACATTGTATTGGGTCATTGGAAAAATCATAATGCATTTTTGCATAACAAAACATAGAAAAATACATCATGACTTTTCTGATGATATATAGCCTAGGAGCTATCTGTGGCTTGAAGTTCAGAGAGAACCTGATTGTTAAGTAATCTGAACTGAAAATGTTTGTTGGGAACACCTTCTTAATATCTTCCACATTTCCCCATGATTATTGTCTATTGTTTTTCTGCTTTTTCTTAGGTCCACTTGCCTCTACTTCTTGTTTTGGCTATGCCCCACGACATTGGATTTATGGTAGTCTCATTAATGGAAGCTCTAAGCATTCTATTATTGCCCTTTGTTTGTTTTCTCTAATCAATGATTTTTTTTTTAAAGAAAAGATATAAAGAGATTGACTTCTTTTTTGACTTATACTTTGATAATTAGTTTATAGTTTTATGACAGTGGGGTTATAAAATGAAGTCAGAATAATTTCTGTTGGGGAAAAATTACTTCAGATTTTTTTGTAGCCTAACATAAACTCAAATTTTACAATTTTTTCTCCCTAATTCGTCAGAGGGCATGTGGTGGAGAGAAAACAAGAAAGAAAGAAAATGAGAAAACAACCTCCATGAGGAATGGTCACATTCAATCCTTTTTTCTTCACTGATTCTTTTGGGATTTGGGGCACACATGCACATGAGTCTGGTATGTTTTCAAGTCACTGGGTCCAGGACTTGAACTGTATGGTGGGCCATGTGGAATCCAACTACCTTAGTCACTTTAGCAACTATTGGCTGGCCTGCAAAAATTTCTCATCTCTTTTCTTAAAAGAAAAGACAATAGGCACGTCTTTCTAATCGGTTGTTTATTCATTGAGCATTTTGTCAGCCATGTTGTCCACTGTGTGTCAGGGAGTGTATTAGGCATTGCAGGCTATAAAATTAATAAATCATAGCCTTCTCTAAGGTTGAAAAAGTTTCAATGAAACCTAGATACATGAAGACCTAATTATAACAGAATAAGAAACACAATAGCAGCAGAATATACAAAAGAGGGAAGAAGGATGATAGGAAGCCCTGTCACAGGTTCTGGGAATACAAAGTTCTCTAAGGTGCCAGCTTCGCCTCTGAGTGACTTTCACTTGTAAAGTGTAAAAGATAAATTGAGAGCAGAGAATGCTTTTTGGAGGCAGGATGACTAACCAGGAAACCATGCTAGTCATTCAGTAATGAATTAAAACACATGAGAGATGTTAGAGAACAAAAAGAGAAGAGGGGATTTTCACATTGGAGGGGCAGATAGAAGAATGGTGCACATAGGAGGGCGAGGGGGAGGAATACAATTGTACAGAAGCCATGTGAGAATCTCTCAAGAAGCGCTTCATCATATCAAATAGAGCCAAAAGATCAAGGAAGGTAAAAGCAGGGCTGGCCTGTACTGCAGTGGTTACACACGGAGCATTGGTGGCTGGATCCCACATGGCCAGCCTTGGGCCAAATGCTGGCCCTGGCGTCTTGAAAAACACACCAGGTGCATGTGTGCACACACCCCCCCCCCAAAGCCTGACAGGATGGAGAAATAGAGGAAAAGGGGATGTAATGTGACCACTCCCACCGGGGAGGGGTGCTCTCTTTCTCTCTTTCTCTTGCAAACACATGCTGAAAAGTCTCCATAAAGTCTCTTTTTAGCTCTGTGGTATGCAATGGATCATCAGGGAAATTAACTCAGTAAGCTGTAAATAAAGTGCCATCAGGTCACAAAGGCTTGTTACTATAAATACCAAGTATAAATAAAACAAAATCAGACCCTCCATAAGCCTCCTTTTCCCATTCTGACTGAAGACTGTCACATCAACACAGGAGCAAAAATGCCTATGAAGGTGACATTTATTTTAGTGCATTCCATTTTGAGATCTGAAGTTTATTTCAATGACTATCTTTAAACCCTTAGAAAGGATGTGTTTTGACACTTGGCAGAGTTTTTCCGTTTGTACTTTGGACTCTCCTGAGTTGATAACAAACTAGTCCTCTGAAAGTATGGCAAGACTGAGGTTGTGTCTTTTTTCTGCTCTTCTGGAAAACACTCCATCCTCTGTATGGAGAGAAACTTCTCATTTGATTAACATTGTAAACAATTGCAAGGCAGAGCCCAGATATGAAAGATTGCCCACACACGCTTCTTTATTGAGTAAGATCTTGTGTATGAAAAGTCAAGGTTGACAGTTTCACCAGCTCGGTATGGCTCCAAAATCCCCTGGGGAATTTCACTCATCTTTTTTGGATGTTCACATGGCCAAATAAGCGGAATCTGTCATATCTCTACTCAACCCTTAAGGGCGAGCTCAGCAACTGACTCCAGGAAGTGCCACTCTTTCTATACCCAGGAAGTCAGATGCCCAAGGTCAGGTACACCTCTCCTTTGGAGAGGAGGGAAGTGTGAGGAAATCAGCTTAGGTGAGAAATATGAATTCAGTACAAGATCCAGGATGGTTTCCATCCTTATGAGCAGCAATAAATACATCCATAAATAAAAGGGCAGGCTAGGCCACCTTTCTAGCACCCTAAGAAAACAGCAGCATAGTTGCCAAGTGCTTAGGAAACCCAGTGATCGTGTCTGTTTCCACGTGTACTCGCTGATAATCTCAGGGGCTCTGCTGCAGCCTTAAAAATGTCGACGCCATCCAACAGATAACGATGCAGAAGTTTGGTCCTGCACTGCCTGAAATCATGTCCATTAGCTTTTTAGATAAAGCTGCCTTTGCTATTCTTCATTAACCCTTTGCTATCCCATGGCGTAGCAGCCCTGGCCTTGGAATCAGACTCTAAGCATGCCAGATGGTTCATTAGGGTCTGCCTTGTTCTGTTTGGCCCACTTCATCTTGTGGCTCTTCCAACAAACGAGAGCCTGGGAAGCTGAGAGAACAAGGCTAAGATGAAGAAGTAGATGACTGTGCTTGGGGGCACCGCCATGGAGAGCAAGCAATTTCCACCTGCTGTGCGAGTGGGCGGTGTCTTTTCTCCCTGTTGAGAACCCCAGCGAAAACTTGAGTGCGAGGAGAGCGGGAGACCGCCAGTCTCCCCACCCCCACCCCCACTCCACACAAACAACGATTAACTTTCCGTTTGCTGCGACCTGCCCTCCAGTGTGACTTCTCAGCTGTTCAGCCTTTGTCGCTCAAAGAAAACAAATTGTGGAATGTACTGCTCTGCATGTTAATGAGATGGCTAAGCCAGCTCAGGGGGTAGGAGAAGGTTTGAGAATGAGAATAATGATCTTCAGTTTCTGGCCTCCTGGCACGGTGGCGGTATTTATCAGGAGACACATGTGACTGGTTAAGACACAGAGCCCCAGTTTGAAGGAAACAGCTGCTTGTGGTATGCTCCGGCACTTGGCAGCTGGACAGGCAGAGTGCTGGTGTGAGGAATACCGACAAAACCACCCCAGTAAGTATCTGGAGAACTTTCCTTTGGGGGGTGTGTGTGTGTGTGTGTGTGTGTGTGTGTGTTGCAAGCCACCAACTTTTTATACTGCCGTCAGCTTCCTTCTAGCACAGTACAGGGAGATATTTTCTTTGTACCTGTTAATAGCCATTTGTGTTGAATGAGGCATATTGCTTGAGTCCCGGTTAGGAGACAGCCAGTTTATTTCCAGGATTTTGGTGGCCCATGGTACTGGTTTTAGAACCTAGTTTAGGTGCAAAGCCAAGATTCAGGTTATGAAGTAGAGAACTGCTAGAAGGGAGTTGATGACTGGGTTTGAATTTAATCAGACTTTTCATTGAAACTTGAAAACATAGTTGTTTAAAAGAGCTTGTGAATTTCATGTATAGCTGACTTGACTGTTCCTAGTCCATTTTTAAAAAAATCTCCTTTAACTATGAATAATAGGCTGTAATATAGAAAATTGACCACGTAGTATTTGAATGTAGGTTAGAAATCACTTTTAGATTTTATGCATCCTTTCCAACTCATTGAAGGTTGTATTCTATAGCTCTCTTCTTCAACAGGCTAATTCATCTTCATAACTTTAAAGCCAAAACAATTTTGTTGCCCCTAGTCTTTCTTATTTTAGTGTTTTTATGATGGCTAGGGTCTTTCTTTCTTGTTTATGACCTGGATTAGAAAAGAGCTGCTAGAAGCTGATTTTCACCTCCCAAAAGGCCTGGCACCCAAGTAACTGAGGGGGCCTGCTCTTTCTCAGGTCTGTTCAGTGATAATGGAGCTTGCTGTTGGCAGGACTGTGAAGCTGGCACTGCACTGGAATGGCGCTGTCGTTCAGGGACATTCGTCCTGTGGCTGTCATGAGACAGACTGCTGAAAGGAAAGGAAAAAGGGGAAAAGAGAGAGGGCAGCACCCCAAATAGAGGATGTAAACCTCCTTGTGAGTGACAGGCTCTGAATCAGAGGCTGCAGGCAGATAATCCACCAGGTTCCTTTTTCTAGATTGCCTGGGTATTGTCAGGGGAGCAGCAAGAGGCTATTTTTATTTGAAGTCTTCCCCAAACCCACTGTGTCGCATGGCATGAGCCTAGGACCCCCTGAAGCATGTACTCATTTCCCCAGGTGATTTCCTCACAGTTTCTGCCCAGTGCCCCAAGGGAACACCGCTCTCTCTTCCCCCTTCCCACCTCTTGTGGTATGTAGAAGAGACTGAAAATGACCCATGATGGGCTGGTTCTGCTGCAGTTTCCCTCAACACGACTAGTCTTACTACCATGTGAGCTAACAATCTCTGATGGGAGCAGTTTCCAAAGCCCTGTCTGAAAGCCTGACTAGTCTGGCACTAGGAAGCCATCTTCCATTTTCCTTAAAATATAGGAGAATACACAAAACCTAGACTGGCCAACGGAAGTCTGTCTCCTCTGTTCCTCTTTATGCCATTTGTAGATGGTCTTTGGGTCAACCTTAAGCCACGTGGCCTGTGACTTCCCTGATTGACTGCAGAGGGCCAGCTCTCCTGCTGGACCATTCTTTGGGAAGCTTGTCGGGGGGCATGGCTTCACTTTTTCCACAAGTTGATCATGGAAAAGAACTCTCTGGTGAAATTGTCTCCTAAATGCAGGAGCCTCCCACAATGCAATGGAAGGTTTAACTGAGAGTCTGGCTATCCTTTGAGTGATCCAACTGCTGAATTTTTGAAAAACCACAGATTATTTTGAAAACCCAGTGATAGCTTGAGTTTTTAAAATGTTAATAGCAAAATAATAAACACTATTTTACATGCAGAGAGTACGTCCTCAGAGGTAAAGACTTTGAGATATGAATAGGAATGAGAGAATGTGTAATTTAATGCCTTCATTTTGAAGATGAGGAAATTGTGGCAAATTTGTCTGGGTCGGTGTGCAGAGTCAAAAAATGAAAAAAAAAAAAAAGCTCAACGTTTCTGCTACTATTATCATCATAATACTAGTACTACTAGTTATAACTTACCTTATTGTGTACTTACTAGGCCAAATGATATGCTTAGCAAGTATATTATTTTTCTAGAAGCCTCAGAATAACTCTATGTGCTATAAATTATTATATTATTCCCATTTATTAGGGGAAGAAAGTAAAATTCGGAGACCCCTTAGTCACTTGGCTGTTCATGACACAGACAAACCTAGATCTGACTCCAGAACTTGTACACTTTAAAAAATAAAATTAGTACAACTATGTTTATTCGACATATTTCAAGTTTAAGGTTCATGAGCTGCAAAAGCATCTCTTTCCAGCACAGTAACATCAGACACAATGTGTGTGTTGGCCCTTCTGAACTCTCCACGGCAGGAAGGGCTAGGCTTCCCTCTGTGACAGTCCAAGCCTGTGCTATATGTGATCACTGACTGGTGGCATGTTTTGCTCTTTGAAAACAGTCCGATGGTGGCCCTTCCAATGATGCAAACAGCGCTTGGGAGCTTTATTTCTAACCTGGAACGCACTGCTCTCACTGCCTCTTCTGGCCTTTCTCCGTCTTTTCCTGTGACTCCTTTCCTTTGAAAGACAGCCATTCTATCCAGGCCCCACCCTGAAGAACTGGCTTAGTGTGGATACAACTATCAGACCTGCTCTTTGCAGCTCAACCTGGAAGGTTGGTTGACTAAGTGGGTCATTTATGAATAGAAAGGGCACAATCCTTCACTTTGTTCCCTTTGTTCTGAAATCTGTGTGTGTGTGTGTGTGTGTGTGTGACAGGGAAAGGGCTGGCTGGGAGTGGGGAGGGAGGACAGAGAACAGGTGTGCTTCTCTCTGCTGACTGGGATGCTGCTTGCAACTACCATCTGCTCCTGAGTCGCTTCTCCCCTGACCTGCTGTGTATGTAAACACTGGCTGTCACATTTGCAGGCCATGAACCTGTGGCTTTTCTGGGTCATTAGGCAGCCCTTAAGGGAACTTTTTAAAAAACTTCATTTGGCAGGCTGGCCCATGGCCTAGTAGTTGAGGGAACTAAATCCCATAAGGCCTATAGGGTGGTTTGAATTCCAGACTCTGCAGCTTGAGAAACACACTGGGCATGTGTGTGTATATGTGCATGTGTGTGCCTAAAATCCCTACAGGAGAGAGAGACGGAAGAGAAGGGATTGCAGCATAACCACACCCCATTGGGGGTATGTGTGCTCTCTCTCTGGCGAGTGCACATGCTCTTTGACAAAATTAAGAAACAAAATTTTCATTTGAGTTTCCATATTCCTGTACTTGCTTAAATAGCAGAATTAGTGTTGGCAACAATGAAAAAGAGCTCTGGGTAATACATAGGCAGGAATGGGGTGGGGCTTTGGTTAATCAAGAGGAAAATTAAGCAACTAGGCCATGCATGGATATCTTTGAGAAAGTTATCAATGTTTTTCAAGGTTGTCATTACAAGATTACACATTTTGATGATCAAGCTATTTATAGCAAGGAGAGGGCATTTTTAATGTTTAATCCTACCCTTCTGATGCTTCTAAAATGAAGCCCCAGTCAGTTGTTAGTCAGTGTTGCAGTCTGTTAACCAGAACTGGGAATACCTATAATGGGAATTACCTCCAATCCATGCCAGGAATTTCATAGAAATTGGCAAATCCAGTGGGTGTTATATGAGGATAGATTTAGAATCTGACAGAGTCTACAAGTTATGCTCCAGAGCTGGTATGACATAAAATGAAGTGCCTGAAGAATTTCTTGGAACCTTTTACTGTGAAGAAACAAAGTCAGGGATGCAGTGTATATTTTGTTTGTCTTTGCCAGACTGTGTGTTTGAAAGACATCTGTTTCCCAAGAGTTAATGCCCTTGGTTCCCCTTACCTTTGTATTGATTGCACATTGACCATCCCCAGAGTTGACTATTTGAATGCCATGTTCCCATTGCTTTATGGGATTTGAAGTCTGGATTTTTTTGCCGCTTCAAGTGATCACTGTGCCTCCAGAGTCTGGTGTGTGGAGTCACTGTGCTTTGATCTTTGAGCCCATTGTTGGTACTGAGAAGACAAACCCTTGCATTTACATAGGAATTTACTGGCATAATGCACTTCTTGAACTTTGCCACAATCCTGTGAAAGAGGGAGGACGTCATCATCATTTTCCAGCAGGAATGGGAGAAAGTGAGAAACTTGTCCGTGGTCATGCAGCAAGTGACTAACAGAGCTCAGCAGTCTCCGGTTTCCTGACTCCCAATGCTAAGCTTCTTCTAGCTTATTGCTGTCTTCTAGAGAAAGACCAACTTCAACTATTACGTGACCATGAGTTTCCATGGGATCTATGGAGTTGTCCTTTGTGATTAAAAAATGTCACCTGGGGCAATGGCTAAGCACTGTGCATTCGGAGCCAGCCTCCACGTAACTGGCTGCAATTCAAATCCCCATTCTGGCAGCTTGAAAAACATACTGAGCATGTGTATGTGCCCAACATCCTGATGTGAAGGAGAAATGGAAGATAGGAATTGTGATGTGACCATGCCCCAATAGAGAATGCTTTCTCTCTCTCTCTCTCTCTCGTTGGCAAGCACATGTGCTCTCTGACAATAAAAAAAAAATGTGATGTAACTTGTATTATTTTCTTCTGATAGGCAAAGAGAAAGTGGATGACTTGTTTGCGATACACCATTTTATGATGTTGATGATGGTATTTCCAAAGCCTATGGGCATTTGATGTTGGCAACAGGGTCAGCTTAGTTACAGACACAATAGTATTTGTTTAGGGTAATGCTTTAAAAGGAACTTAGTGATCATTTTCCTCTCCTGCAGACCCAGTGTGGTTAAGTGGCAGTCATAACAACTGTAGCATGATGTAACACTCAGCTTTTAGAGAGGATCTAGTTGTTTTCTGAGATATTTTTAAAAAATACATTCTGCTTTCCAGCACACACTCTCTTTGCCCAGAAAAACCATCAGCATTCTTAGAACTTTCTGCATGGTTACAACACCCTTATTCCCATGGGATAGTAGTGCACTCCAATCACCAGGGAGAGTGTCCACTTTGACCATTCC